AAAGCGGCAAGGATAGGTGTTATCAGGTAAAGCAGGAAGGATAGGCGTAATCAGGTAAAGTGGCATGGACAGGCGTAATCAGGTAAAGCAGGAAGGATAGGCGTAATCAGGTAAAGCGGCAATGATAGGTGTTATCAGGTAAACGGCAAGGATAGGCGTAATCAGGTAAAGCGGCAAGGATAGGCGTAATCAGCTAACGAGCCAAGGATAGACGTAATCAGCTAACGAGCCAAGGATAGACGTAATCAGGGAAAGCGGCTAAAGACGTATCTCAATAGTTCTTTGCATCACCAAGAGACAGTCTCCCTCAAAGTGCAGCGGAGGTAAGTTTTATTACTCACCTCTGAAGTTTTATTCACCTAGGAAAATACTGCAGATACCTAGACAAAAACAAAGAGTGGAATAGCGCTAAGTCAGAGGAAGGGGAGGCAGCACACTTAAATGGGTATGTCTCTCCTAAAAACCCAATAAGGACAAACAACAATACAAGACAGTAGGGTGCGCCAGGGGGTTAGGGGTGAATTAATACTCAACAATACAACTGAAGTAAAACAGATAATACGTGCTTAATAAAAGGATATAAAATGATATAAAATCATACATGCATAAAAACGTCCAAAATAAAGTATAAAGGTTTGGTAAGTCTATAAGAGTTTGCCTTTATCTCCAGGTGAGTTTGTATGGGATGGAGCTTAAAGCTGATTACCGCTTTAAAAAGCACATTGTGGGTGAAACGCGTTGTGGACTTATTGTAACATTATTATTGTCTTAATAAAGATTTTGGTATCTTTTACTACCAAAATTAGTACCATATAACTTTTCTTTTATTACCTGGCATCAAGTTTTTATCTTCCCAGTGAGGACCTCACAAAGTATCCCTGGTGGGGATTGTACCACCTATTATGATTACACTGAGCGGACTATCTGCTCAGGTAAATGTGAGTATTCATTTATTTCTTCTCCTGGATATATATATTATACAGGGAGCACTATCCGTTGTACCTTCGTTTGTATTTTTCAAGATACGCACTGGCTTATATCTTCCACCATATCCCTGAGTGTGCAAGCGCTTCACACACACGAGCTGGTTTTAAGCTCTATCCCATACATACTCACCTGGAGATAAAGGCAAACTCTTATAGACTTACCTATACCTTTATACTTTATTTTTGACTTTTTGCCTTGTTCGCTTTTATGTATATATGATTTTATATCATTTTATTAAATACTGCAATAGTGTTTACTGGAGTGACGGGAAGGGAAGCTCCCCCGTTCCTCTTCCAGTGAGGTCTTCCCCCGCTGAGACTTTAATCTAAATTCTCTAATTGTATTTGGAGTTTTAAATGAACAACCAGCAGCACAGTCAGCAGAACTGTAACTGGCACCGGCGTCTCCCATAATATAAACGTTAATCAGATTTATACGCTGCTCATCTGGAAGGGAACATTACCCAGATGGTGCGAGTGTCCTGCAGTTTTAAGCAGAGCTCAGCATCATTCGCTGGGAACATGACTGATTTGCATGTTACTCTGTCATGTGCCAGCAGAACTCATCAGTAGTTCTAAGTGATTTTATTTAACACATTCCTGACCAATGCTGCGTTCATGTTCTTTATGAATGACAGACGTCACCTTGAAAGGCTTCTCAATGGACAAAATAGATTAATTAATTAATGGGACGCTATCATTGAAAATTTATATTTTTAATTAAACATTTAAATATAATTGGATGTTGTGAAGATATAAGAAGGTTTATTTTACAATTCAAAGATACAAAATGGTAACGGCTGCTATATAGCTTTGTACTAGTTAAAGAAAAGTAAAAAAGATATTAAACTGCTCACTGAGTTAATGTAATATAATATAATAATATATAATATAATGCAATATAATATAATAATATATAACAATGTAATATAATATCATAATATAATATATAATATAACAATGTAATATAATATAATATATAATATAATGCAATATAATATAATAATATATAACAATGTAATATAATATCATAATATAATATATAATATAACAATGTAATATAATATAATATCATAATATAATGCAATATAATATAACGTAATATAATATAACGTAATATAATATAGAAAGCAGACACGTAGCGCTTGCAATATGCACAGATTAGGGATGGAGACTGATTGGCCTAGCTAGTGCCTGTCTCTCACTATCCCACAACTCAATGAAAAGCAGAGGAAAGCTGTGCATACACTCCTGGCCCGAGCACTTCTCAGTGAGAATCCTCTGATTGGTCCATTTCCAGGCACATTGAGAAAGAGGGGAGAGCTTACAATGCTGCAGACAGCAGATCTGCAGCTTGCACAAGCTGTGTTTACAAAGTATACATGCAGGAAAAAGGTACATGGATGTTTTGTTTTGAGGAATAGCTACTAAATTGTTAGGAAAAAGCACACAGTATTTTCAATGGCGAGCTTCTTTAACAAAAAGCTGGTAGGGGAAATACCAGAGACACGAGCACACACAAAAACTCGCATATTTGAATGAGCAGCCGTGCTTAGAATGTTAATGAGATTTCAAATAGCTTATAATAATAATAACAGACCCTGTCTGCAACAATAACAAATACTGAGAATTGGGGATGGTCTATAACTTCTTTATTAATATTTCACTTTTCCGAGTTTAGTTTTTATATTAAGATATTATTGTTTCTGTGAGCTGTTGTGCTCAGCTCACACATATCAAAGTTTATTATAAGAGAACACAGCTGACTTATCATGTCATTGTACATCACCGCAGAATATGTTGGCTGTTTATAAATGCAACGTCTACTAATAAGAATTCATGAAGTTAGTAGTCCAAATTTGTATTATTAATAAATTCTGCAGAATTATTGTGCCATCCTTACTGTGTGTATTTTGAATAACAAGCAGATGCCAATGGCCAGAAGAATACCTTAACATTACTGTGACGTGAATGCTTCCTTTTAACTTATGTTTTACGACGCATTCTATAAATGTTCGCTTGCGCTATAATATGGCTATTTTTATACTGTTACCATTAATTTAAATTGAAGATCATGGATTGACTGAATCTTGTATCTGTGATTTTGATACGTGTAACTGTGACATACCTGAGCATTGTCCGATAAAACGTTTTATAATCACATTAATAGCTTGTATAGTGTTTCCTCCACATTAATAGGTATTGATGTTCTGTGCATTTTGCACAATTTAAGCTGTGAGCATTAGACTAGCTAGTAACAAACACGATAAGCTCATAAAGCGCTTCAGCCTTTTTATCTGGAGTCTGGCAATTTCGTGACAGTTTATAAAAGTGATATAACTGTGGCTGAAACATCTCTCTGTCTCTCAGACAGCCATGGAGGCTTTTGGAAGTGGCCAAGTGAGCCAGGATGGCGAGAGGGACCCTACAATTTAATGACTATCACTGGAAAGTCGTGATCGAGACTCCAGCACAGAGCATTCTCAATGAGAAGCCTCTGATTGGTCATTTCCCAGCACATACTGAAAGTCTGCCTCTGTGAAACAGGGGAGGGATTACAAAGGCTGCTGACAGCAAGTCTGCAGCTTTTGCAAGCATTTTTCTATTTATATAACCCCAAAGAAAACAGACAATAAATGCATCCTTTCTTTGGGGGATATTGTATTTCATAAATTGTTATGAAAAAAAATCCTGTTTCAGTGGAGTTTTCTTTTAATTGTTCCATCCTGGCTGATTGCTTGCTGACCATGTGGATCATTTCGTGACTACAGCCTACCTGTCTTGTAATGGCTTCATGTCACAAAGTGTCCGTCATCTGAAGCGGATTACCCAAACTCCTCGGTTTTGTGATGCAATGGGTGGAAAATCTGCCACCATTGTCAGACGTTGACCAGAATCACTATCGAACATGTCCAGCCCACAAAAAATTGAGGCGATTCGAAGGAATAAAGGCGAGGGGGGCCACGCAGTTCTAGAATGGCCATACTTGTTATCTTGCTTTCTGAATTAAGCAGAGATGAATGTTGATTGAAATAATTCATTAAATTGCAGTTAATTCATTAACATTTGAATGGTGGAGAAACGAGAACTGCCCTTACATTTTAGATGGTAATACATGACCTGAATCGAGTAAATAAGTAGTAACATTTTTCAAAATGATCTATTTTTCCTTAGTGTCACTGTTCAGTTTTAAATTCACATCAACTTGGCGTTTAGTAAATAAACCCTTTGCTTTTCATGAACGTCTGCAGGAAAATGTATTCTGGGGATGTTTCCTTCACATCGGTTCGTTCTGTTTCATTTAACAAATCTCCATTTCCAGCTTTGATTGATCAGTGTCCCTCCGCAGTGAATCTTTATTAAACGTGGGCACTGATATTTCTTCTCTCCGCTGGGCCTCAGAAATCAGAATATTCAGCCGTGCTTTGCCGGGAGAAATTGTTCTGATATCTGATTATGTATATGCGTTGGCCTCGCAGTGTTAGTTTGGAAACGCCGTTCGGTATTATAGAGTTTAGACGAGTGCTGATTGTTTGTAGAATGAAGTATGTCAAGTGGCAGTAGGAGGATGGCAATCCTTGCTCTCCATTAACATATCCCATCAGACTATCGTCTGAACATCTACAGTGAGAGATACGGAACTTAGTGAAGCTGTCATCTGCTGACAGACATTGGGTCACTGGGGATACATTATATGTGTGTGTGTGTTTTCTGCTACAATTATAAGGGGAAGCTGACAGTAAAGACCACACGGCGAAAAGTGGTAACTCATATACTAAACTCATTCTCTCTTCTAATGTCCCTCATTTCAAGGAGCTCTATATTGTTGCTGTGTCTGAGTGTATAACAGAGCTCCACAGCAATAATACTCCCAGTAATGTGTCTGAGTATATAACAGAGCTCCACAGTAATAATACTCCCAGTAATGTGTCTGAGTGTATAACAGAGCTCCACAGCAATAATACTCCCAGTAATGTGTCTGAGTGTATAACAGAGCTCCACAGCAATAATACTCCCAGTAATGTGTCTGAGTGTATAACAGAGCTCCACAGCAATAATACTCCCAGTAATGTGTCTGAGTGTATAACAGAGCTCCACAGTAATAATACTCCCAGTAATGTGTCTGAGTGTATAACAGAGCCCCACAGCGATAATACTCCCAGTAATGTGTCTGAGTGTATAACAAAGCTCCACGGCAATAATACTCCCAGTAATGTGTCTGAGTGTATAACGTAGCTCCACAGCAATAATACTCCCAGTAATGTGTCTGAGTGTATAATGTAGCTCCACAGCAATAACACTCCCAGTAATGTGCCTGAGTATATAACAGAGCTCCACAGTAATAATACTCCCAGTAATGTGTCTGAGTGTATAACAGAACTCCACAGCAATAATACTCCCAGTAATGTGTCTGAGTGTCTAACAGAGCTCCACAGCAATAACACTCCCAGTAATGTGTCTGAGTGTATAACAGAGCTCCATGGCAATACTACTCCCAGTAATGTGTCTGAGTATATAACAGAGCTCCACAGCGATAATACTCCCAGTAATGTGTCTGAGTGTATAACAGAGCTCCACAGAAATAACACTCCCAGTAATGTGTCTGAGTGTATAACAGATAACAGAGATAATACTCCCTATAATATGTCTTTAAACTACAATAAATGTGTTTAGAAATCAGTCTTTGTAAAGAAGATACATTGTTCTTGTTATAAATTAAATTTTAGTTGTTGAAATTGTTATTAGTAAGTCACCGAACAATTCTTAGAGCAGCCACGCCCCTGGCAACACCCACTCACACTGAGAACAGTCTGGCCCCATGGTCACAACCTCACTCACACCCAGAACAGCCACACCCCTGGCCACACCTCCACTCACACCCCCAAAATGAAAGTGTTCCTCTTTGTTCAGGTGAGATGTTGGGAGATATGACACTGTAGTTGTGACGGTTCACCCTGTCCCTGGAATTACAATCCCGTTATTTCATTCGCCTATGTATTCAGGATATTTCATTCACCTTCGTTTTGTATTTATTCCATTCCACAACCGAATGAACTACCGAACAACTGGACCACCCCGTCACCTCATTAACACTCCTAAACCGCAAGCGTTCTAAGCGGTCGGCTGGGTGGTCGCGAACACAAAGAGCGGTGTTTGGTCGTCGAGTGCATGGAACCCAAATCGGACACTCAACTGTGCAAACACCGCTGGGACTTCCATCTCTTCGTATGTTTGTCTGGATTCACTTGACAAGAGCGGCGTTCGGTGGAAAAACTCTCCCGAACAAGAGAAACAAACTAATTAGCCATACAAACTGGTTGCATTCATATTTCTGTTATATTGTGAACTCCCAAAATAGACCAATCGCACACCCTGATTTCATGGACCTCTTTTGGGAGCTTCGTGTGCGGTCGGTCAAAATAGGACTTCCATGGAAATCCCGAACCCCTGAACCGGTCTGGGTGATTTTTGTTTGTTGATATGTTGGTCACCCAGATTGGGGCTATCAGGGGATGTAACTTTTGTGGGTTTTCCACAGGTTTTAGGGGTACTTTTGGGGTACTGCTGAAATGTGTGCTTTTTGCTTGGAGATAATTAAGTTAGTACAGTTCCTGATCCAATTATCTCCCAGGCACAGGGGAGGGATTGTCTCATTTTGTATGGGAGTGTCCTGGAGAGCCAATGTAATCGCCTGTATGTTTTACTGTAGTCTACTCTTAGGTCCGGGGGGGAGTGCCCCTTGTATGGGGATTGTCATAAAAAGCCGTGTGGCTCCATTAAAACCAGATGTCCCACAGCATAGTGCCTCGTCTCATGTTTGTGGGAGAAAGCTATACCAGTGGTCTCCCTTCTACTTGGAGTGCTTAATCATTAGCTCTGCATTACAGCATCCCTCCCACTAGGGGGAAAAGAACCCCTCTTCCCATCGGGGTGGCCGCCACAGTAGTGTTTATTCACGGATAAAGGAATTTTAAGTCAGCGTCCGTGGAGAGAATCTTTCCAAATCAGCTTTATTTTGACTTGAAATGTTCAATTCTCCACAATTCTCCGAACCACAAACTGCAGAAATTAAAAATGTACAAATTGTATTATTTCACCAAAAAAGTGCTGATTTGTAAAAATTCCTCAACTAGGTTATAGTCACAGTTCGTCATTTTAGCCTAAATTTTGCCATTCACATTTCAGTATTGCTAAAATGCCCCCTGTAACGGCACCCCGGGCATAAAAGGGGTTAACAGCCGTTTAGTAGATCTTCCCTTCCGGAGACACAGGCAGCTACTGGAGAACACCAAACTCCCGAACTGGATACAACGGAATGCTCCAAACTCCCGAACTGGAACCTCACGAATAGCTGCTAGCAGACGAACAGGAAAAGCACCCAAGCGGCTTACACTCCTGGCAATCAGTCTCTAACGGCATACAGTAAATCCCCCCGAAGAACGAGACAAGGCTCCGTGTTGAGGGTCAAGCAGTGGTCTGATTTATTCAGGGCTACCTGACCAGTATTTATGCAGGTCTCGCACCTGGTGGACACTCCCCTAGGGGACCAGATGGGAGACTGTAACACAGACAGATATGTATCACATTCAGACACACGGAAGTAAAACATCCCCACAATGCATCCTAATTTCCCTCCCTCTATCCTGGAGATAATTGGGAAGTAATCCAATTATCTCCCTGGACAGAGGCAAATCGCCATTATACACGTGGGGACTAGTGATGTACCGAACGGTTCGCTGGCGAACGGTTCCTGGCGAACATAGCATGTTCGCGTTTGCCACGGTGGGCGAACATATGCGCGGTTCGACCCGCCCCCTATTCGTCATCATTGATGAAACTTTGACCCTGTACCTCACAGTCAGCAGACACATTCCAGCCAATTAGCAGCACACCCTCCCTAGCAGACCCTCCCACCTCCTGGAAGGCATCCATTTTAGATTCATTCTCAAGCTGCATGCTTAGTAAGAGGAGGGAAAGTGTAGCTGCTGTTCATAAGATAGGGAAAAGCATAGCTAGGTTAGGGATAAGGGTATGCTTTTTTTTTATTTTTTTTTTCTATGTAATGTAATTGCACTTAGTTGTCTGCCACTGCTGCCAGCTTCTGTGTCAGGCTCACAGTGTATACTGTGCCCATTTCCCCAGTCAGTGCCACCACTTAGATCTGGTGTCACAATAGCTTGATTTAAAAACAAAACACTTTTTCACTGTTATAGATTGAATAGCAGCTCGTGTCCTTAAAGGGTGTACTAACAAAGTGGATACCGTGACCAGTGCCACCACACTTAGATTCAAGTGACACAAAGCTTGGATTTAAAAAAACAAAACACTTTTTTCACTGTTATAGATTGAATAGCAGTTAGTTATCTTCAAGCGGTTGTCAGGCCTACAGCCTGTGCTCTGCACAACTGTGCCAGTGCACATTGCCACTCCTATCTGGTCTCACAGTAGCTTGCACGCATAGTACCACTAATCCCAACAAAAATGACAGGCAGAGGCAGGCCACTCCGCAGGGGCCATCGTGGTCGTGGTGCTATGATCCCCTTTGGCCCTAGAATAATGCCCAGTTTTCAGAGGCCACGTACCCTGAACTTGAAAAGTTCTGAGGACATAGTTGACTGGCTAACACAGGACACCCAATCTTCTACAGCCTCCGCTCAGAACCTTGACGCACCATCCTCCTCCAGCTTAGCTTCAGGCACCTTTCAAGATACCACTCACCCGCCTGCCGCCACCACCAAAACTAGCACCACAGCCGCTTCAGTTGGTATGTCAGAGGAGTTATTCACACATCCGTTTGAAGAAATGAGTGATGCGCAACCATTATTGCCAGAGGATGTAGATAACAGGGATATGTCTCAGGCAGGCAGCATTACACACATGGACGTACGGTGTGATGAGGATGATGATGTTGTACCCGCTGCTGCTTCC